TCTCAAATATTTTTGAACATCTTATATAGACTCAGATTAAAAGCAATCACCTGATTAACGAATACTTAGAATCATGTCATAACTCTTGTATCTTTATTTTGTCAATGAGTTGGTTTTGGTAATTCAAAAAAAGCAGGATTACTCTCATCAAAGCGTCACAGTAATTCTTTTCCCATTACAAAAAAATCAAAATTAAAATTCCCAAGTAGAATAATTTTCCCCTGTAAGTTGCACGCCAAAAAACATACAAATGGTTTGTTGTTATATTTGATGTATTTGCCATAATTTCAATGCCTCATCGCAATGTGCAAAAAAAAGTTGGTCAGGTCTGACCAATTTAATGAGATCAAAAATAATGAAGCATCCCTTGTAGTCCAATCAATTAGAACAATAAAGCCCGAGCGAAATAAAGTTGTTGTAACAAAAAAGAGCAAGCTATCATTGTTGAGAAAGCAAGCGCACCGGATGACGTTTATTTTCACGTCGAGCTCGAATTAGCCTAGATCGAGTCGATTCGAGCCCGACTGGACTCGATCGCGCTCGATCGACTTAATCGATCGTCGTCGAATGCAAATTAACTCAAATTGAACATCAATTTAATCAAATTAAATTCAATTTCATTAAATTAAAATCAAATCAATCGAATCGACCAAAATAGGTTCAAATCGAACCGAATTGAGCCTCGTCGAAACAAATTCAGTGTAAATCGGCGCGGATTCGAGTCCAATTTCGCAAAATTGGCTCGATCGGACCCAATTGGACCCGAATTGACCAAAATTGATTCGAATTGGGTCCAATTCAGACTCAATTTCAAGCCCAATTAACTGTTTGAAATGAAGATTTGAGATTTGTCCAGATTTTCAAATATTTGCAGCTGTTTTTCATCAAGTTTGTTGATTTCTACGGTTATAGCAGTCATCTGAGCGCATAAATCACATCTCGCGGCAGAACCTTATTAGAGGTATAAAGAGAGCAGTTCGGCTCATTTCATTCAGCATATCCGTTTTTCCTGCATCTGAACCAATGTGAGAGAGAAAGCGGCAGGTGAGCACCCTTCCTCGTGTGTCCGTCCTGAGAAGAACCGGAGGAGGGAGAAGGCACATGGCTCGCGTGTGTCCGACCTAGCGAGAGGGAGGTGGGAGTCGAGGCCTGCACCTACTTGCAAGTCCGAACCAAAGGCAGCCAGATTGTGCGTCTGGCGGCTTTGTGCGTGCGTCTAGAGGTGAAGAGTGACTGTGGAGTTCTGTTTGGCCGGCCTTCTGCTTGCGTGTGTCTGCCCCAGTCGAGAGGGAGCGGGAGTCTCCACCTCAACGTGCGGTTCACGCATCTAGCCGAGAGGAGGAAGATGGGCCTGTTGTTTGTGATCCTTGGGGTCGGTCGAGCTTCCCGGGGGCTTCTTCCTCCCATTGTGTGTCGGATCTAACCCAGAGACGAGGCCAATGAGAAATCAAAGCTATTTCACACACACGACCTAATAGAGGACAATGAATCAAAGTTACAGGTTTCACCTCATCTCATCAAACTTTTAAGTTGCAGAAAATTTTTCCTCTCTTTAGCTCCAAAAGCTAAGGAGAATCCTCCAACATCTTACTCAAAAGCTACATGTTGGACATCTCTCTCTTAGACCCAAACTCTAAGTGATATTTCAATTGTTAAGACACCTTTCATACTGTGACATGCCTCACATACTTAGGTGCATAACCCCTTAGACATGTTAGGATTATGATTTTTCTTTTTTCTACTCATGTCCAAAAGGATACGCAATAAATCATAAATAAAAATGCTTGCATGACAGATGCTGCTTAAACCCACCAAGAGATGTGGCTAATAGAATAGAAACATGGACTTGGCACTTTAAATGCTAAGCAAATTCTGAATGATTGCTCATGCTTTATATATTATATTGCACCGATACACCTAGTTATGAAGGTGTGTTGTATCTGATACACCGATACACGAATACGCCTCCGATACGGCATTGATACGTGTCGGATACGACTTTGAAGTATCCAATTAAAATACTATTTAATTTCAAAAGGATATGCATATCCGACACGCGTGTCCATTGAAAAACAAAAAAAAAATCTGAAAAAAAGGACCCGTCGTGTTTACTTCCACGATTGCGAGTGAGGTTCTCTCATTTTCGAGATGGATTTGAGTCTCTTGATGATATGGGAATATTAGAAATTACTAATCTTTCACTTGATGAGCCTGAATTAGAAGCTATGATATTTATTGAAAATGATAGAGAAGTTCAAAGACAAACCACTGAAGAAGCTAATTATATCATTCCTTCTATTGAATTGTTGAACTCCATGTGCTAGACAATTTATGTTTATGCTTTTGTTGTTATACTAGACATTTAATGCTTACTTTTATTTTGAAATTATAAGCTACAAGGATACAAATGATGTTACTTTCTTTTTTTTATAATTTCAAATATTATGCTTTGATAGCTTTCTTAACTTTTATGTATGATTTATAAATTATAATGGCATGTATGCGTCGTACCCGTATCCTGTATTTTTAAGAATTGATGTGTCCCGTATCATATCGTATTCGTGTCGCCGTATCCGTATTGGTGCAACATAGTTTATATATAAACTGCTCGTAATCATTTGTCTTGCAGATTTTGAGTCTTTTTCTTTTCAAACACGTATTTGATAGATTTAGGAATTGTGTGTTAAACTTGTGAGGTCTAGTTAAAAGAGAGGTGGATCGATAAGATGTATCTGCTAAAGATGAAGCCCAAGTAGAGTTTGTAATAATTTGTATAATAACGGGCAACTTAGCAGTCAAATTTGATTGTAATAACTGGGACATTATTTACCCTTCTATTTTGGTTTATTTATATATGCAAGCATGTGCTGATTTGTTTACCTAATTGTGCAATAGAAAAATATATTTTTTCCTAGGTTTCTTCTCTTGTTTTGCTTGGGGGTGGCCTGGACTTTTGATGCGGTAGGCTCTTATGACAAAAATAATTTTCTACCCATTAAAATATAAACAACTTAAAATTCATATTAGGCTTCATGATTTTCAAATAAAAAGAAAAATTACATGGCTCCCTTCAAAGAGCCAAATTTTCTAAAATTTTAATTGATTATGCATAGCCCAGTGAGTTTCATGTAAAAAAGTCCTCAATTCATAATCATAAAATAAAAAAATATACATTTGTGAGTTAGCATTATGCATATCTTTCATGATCAGACACATCTTGGCCTCAAAGCCAAGCTGTAAGTTGTATCCTCTAAACAAAACAACCTTCTTACTCTTCATATGCATTGAGACCGGACTTCCTGGTTTTAAAACTTAAAAGTAATTTGGAGGTTGGGCTGGTCATGCCTCGCGTAAGATGTTGTTTGCAATCATTTGCACTCTGTTAGACTTAGATTCGAGTCACTACCCCTCAATAGTCCTCACCATAGTTTTAGGGTCCGAGGCAGTTGTTGGTTTCAATCACATCATAAGCCCTCAGCTTTCGGGCATTTCCTCCAACACGTGTTGTTATTGAGGGTATTGAGTATATAAGGAAATGATATTTTTATCCTTCAGGATAATATATTATATTTCTTATGTCGTGCTCGATCACAAAATATGCAATCCGTTGAGGATAACTAAATTTCTTCAACAGCACCGTCGCTGAGAAAAGATTAGCCCAATTTAAGATTGAATCCATCAATTGGGCAAGAAAAGCCAAATCACACTCGTAGAATGGAAATGCAGGTAGAATCGAGCAAAGTTGAAGATAAATCACACGATCAAAGCATGGAAATTGTGAATTCAAAGCTGATTAAGTTGTGAGAAGTTGAAGCCAAACCCTATCGAAACATGGACATTGCGGATTGCAAAGAAGCCAAAGTCAATCGGGAAGCACAGGATTGTGATTACGAGAATTGAGAAGCTGAATTGGTAAACTAGCAGAACAGAGCACAAGTGTGAAGTGGCCCAATCAAAGGGATTAAAAGATGAGGGGCTCTGCTTAGATAGGGTAAAACATTAAAGCCAGATCCTTAAGAATGTTCACGGGATCCTTTCCGATCTTCATAAAGCCTTCCTAACAGATGGCAAATCCCTCACATGATCATGACGAGAAAGAAGGCTTAGAGTCCTTATTTCGATACCATGACAAACGAAGACTTGCACAAATTGATTGAGTTTTATTCCAGCCTTTGACCCTTATTTATACAACCCTAGAAGTGTTACATAAGAAGAGTATACAAAATCAGGAATTAAAAATTAGCTGTATAACTAATTATAATAAAATAATGCACACGGACTATAGTGAGGTGGCATCCATGAGCACATAGACAAAAAAAAATAGAATAGTTAATAAAGGACTTGGTCATTTCTAGTAGAGTTAAGATACCAAAAAAAAGTAGATAACACAGTGTTGACTGTTTTAGCACAAACCAATACCCAACTGTAAAAACAGAATAAAAAAAAAAACAAATGACATTGCTTAAGATATAAAAAACATGAAAAAAAATAAAGAAAAAAACCTTTTTAAGAAGAAATAACTTTAAATTTTAAACAAAAACATGCTAGAACATTTTTTTAGTGGAATGTCATATTTTTTGCTTAGACTCTTTCAAGTAATTATAACCTAAAAGCACGCTCAAATGTGTAAAAGGGAGAAACTTTTTTATCGACTATATATGAAACGAAGACAAGGCTAATTATGATGATGAAAAGAAAATCAAATCACGTGGTAGCATGGTGAAATCCAAAATGAAGAACGTAGAATAAAAAAACCATTATTTATCTCTTTAAGAAGAAAGCTCCTATAATTTTTTAATCGAACCAACTAAAAAAAAAATTCATTATGCAAGGTAGAACTGTGAAAAGAATGAGAAGACAAACTATTAAATTTATAAGAGCTGAATTTCTCAATAGATATTCTATAATGAAAGCACAATAATGCATCAAAGTGAAGGCAGGTATATGTAGAAAAAATCAGCAGAAAGCGTGTTTGGGGCCTAGACTTGTTCAGTACATACCACATATGTGCACATTCAAAGGGTGGACAGGGAGGAACCATTTTGTATCCGCGATGTACAATTAGAAGTGCTATCTGATAATATTTTACCAAAAGATAAGCAAAGGATCAATATGAATAGAAATACACAAGCAAAAATAAAAAAATGAACTTAATTTGGCAAAGAATAACAAGTATGCATTAAGCAGAATACATGAACCTAAACGAGCGATCATCAATTAAATTATCAATGAAATGAAAAAGCAAACCTTGCGAGCATTCTTTCTCATGAGGTCACTGAAATTGCTACTCTGGTTTACTTGATGAAGAAGAAAGTATAGTAAGTTCCTTCTCTGTTTTTCATGCTCGCCATCCTGGTGGGCTTCAAGAGACTAGAAAATGTACAATTGAAATCACAAACTACTCATATTTTGCAGGAAGTGAGAGCAAAGCGTTGAGAAATAGAAAAAAAATCACTTGTCAAAATACTTCGCCTGAATAATAAGATTAACTGGCTTGCCTGCAAAAATGGGAGGAAAAGATCAAAAATTTCCTTGTGGCTTTTCTCATTTCTGGTATGAAAACACTGACCCAAAAGAGTGTTTCGCATCACGCTTGGTGATAATGCAGTCTTCAGCCAAAGTTTACTCCCTAAAAGTAGGTCACGATTGAAAAGAAAATAAGATATTAGATGCTTACACTTATGAGAGAATAAACCAGTAGAAAACTCACCAAGAATTTCAAAGGATATCCTCAAACAAGCAACAGCATAGGAAAAATCCGCTGTGTCACCACTGACATGGTTAAGAACAATGTTCAGGAAAACAGGGTATCTCTCTAATACCCCTTCTTCATATGCTGGGGCCTCAAGAAAGCCAAGCCTATTGTAGGAACAGGCATTACAAAAGACAAAAAGTTAAAAAGATGAACAAAAAGAAAGAGTGGGTTCAGAAACATTCTACCAAAACAATTAACCTTTTACATGGATTAGCCATGCAAGGATAGCACTACAAACCAGAAATTATTACAGCAAGTATTTTCCATGAAAAGACAATTCTACTGCAAGAAAAACAAAGGCAGATTTTCCTTAGTTTCCATTTACATACAGAGTTTTAACTCCAATCCAAACAGTTGTCCGCTCAAGCTGTACTCTTGGCCTTGAATCATCAATGGTTGACGGAAGAACCTCAGCACCCAATAAGCCAATGTATTTCTTTAAAAGAGGCTGCAAAGGATCCAAATCTGCTGCACTCCTAAAGAACAATCATATTAACATCAGAAATAAAATTTAGGCGTATCAAAGAAGGCATATTGAATTGCCAAAACAGCAGCTTTGAATAAAAGTAACAAAAAGATTTGGAATTATATCATCTAACAGAAGTAACACCACTCTCACAGCAATGCAAAAGTGTCACTTCAAAGTCGCCAAAACTGTGGCAAAGCAGTTTTAAATAATTGACTTAAAAAGGAACAATTGCATTAAATGACATTAACGAAGAGAGAAATTGTTGTCAAAACAATCATGTTTAACACATACGTATAAGTACCAACTTTACATTAGCCAAAAAAAATAAGAATAGAAAGAAAAAAGAGTAGCTTGCAGCTTCTTTGTTGTCTATCGTCTAGCAGGCAAGCCCACTTACCAAGTTGGATAATACAATGATACAAAGGATGCCTCCTCTCCATGAACAAACAAGCACCCTTTGCAACAACAGCATAATAATCTTGTCACTGTGAGCATCAGCCAAATATGTATTAATATTATAACGTAGATATCTATCTGTTAATTATGACCACAATCTTTGGTACCGTTATAAATATTTGTTCTTTTGGAATATAACTATAGCTTCCTTCTTAGGCTAGATCTAAACGAGAAAATCATTCAAACATTAACTTTTAAAATATATGTTCCTTTCTATATAATAAGGAGAACCCTCAAGGTGAGGACAAGCAAAAAGTGCAAGCAATTGCATCTGCTAGGATATCAAATCAATTGATTTAATTCTTCATCTCTTCCTCATCTCAGTAGCACTAGTCCTACAGTTATCGATATTTCTCACTAGGTCTTGTGGCCTCATTGTCGTTGTACGAGCAAGCAGCACTACACCTATGTAATGTGCATCTTTGGATGAACAGCCTTGTGTTGTTATGTCATCACTTCGCATTGTGTTTGCATCCGCATCTCAAGCCATCTTACACTCCATTGTTCTTCTCACTCCATTGTTCTTCTCACGGGGTTGCGCCGCAAATGCTTTTTCTCAAAAGAGGCTCTTCTCTGCCTCATCTCAGCCCTCGTCTTATAGCATTGGCTCATAACTCAACATCTCGCTTTGTCTCTTTGTCTCGACATTACATCAAAGAGTCATGGTCTCCATTTCACTGCTTCACCTCAACACTAAATCCTATAGCACTGCTCGAAACCTTGTCTCTCGCCTTATCTCGGAAATGCAGCACTATGCCAAAGAGTCATAATCTTGAGTTATTTTTTTCTAGGCATATCAAGTCGTTAGGAGATTTTCCAAAAGGCATCATGTCAATCATATTAACAACAATTAAGCCATTTTATTATGGGAAAAAATTGTGGTGATAATGATGGGAGTGTTCCTACACTTACAGAATTTCCAACATTAGCCTAACGATAAAACAAAGATGCAAGAGTCATAACTTGGATCTTAATATTCATTAATCAAGTTATCATCCTCAATCTAAGGCTATGTAAGGCAGCTAAAAATAAGTGGGAGTATTTACAAAAAATTCATAATCAAAACAATGTATTTAGACATTTTCGATTATAATATGAGATTGCTAGTAACACACAAGGAGATTTTTCCATCCATTATTATTTCTCTACATTTCAAAACTTATGGACTAAATTGATTGACATAATATATGTGCAGGTACCTAGTGAATCACTATTGGTTGTTCAAGAGGGTCATGAATAAAAGCAAGAAATAAAATTTTTATCTGAATTTGAAGATACTCCAATTTGATGAATCTAACCTCTCTTCTTTGAATGTGTGCTTCAGAAAACTACTTAGAAAGAGTAAATGATAAGGCAACATACATCCCCACAGGAAAAGCGAAAAGATCCAGCAGGTACAATGATTCAATTGCAAAGGCTATGTACATTTTGTTGCCAACCGTGCAAAGTAATGTTGCATTTACGATAAGAAGCCTGAGCAAATTGTTAACCAGTGTTGCACTTGTTATCATAATTGAAAATCGAATGCTAAGCAAGACATTATTAATGATCTTGTTGTTGGTTAAGCAAATATGGATAAATTTGGTATTACTTCTGAATGATTCAGCATATGATCATTAAGACCTTGTAAGCCTTATGATGCGGACATCCGACGGTGGACGATATTCAAAGGAAGAGTCAAAGATCGACGGCCGAGATCACTCCATTTTATTTTAGTTTATTAATTGTATTTTGATTTAATTTTGTAATTTTCTTTTTTTACCCTTTTTATTTAAGAGTCTGGTCTTATGTAAGCCTAATGGGCAAATTTGTCTTTTAGTTTTTTTTTAGGCCTATATATAGAGGCCACTTCTCTTGTATTAGGTATGATTGAATTATAATAAAAATGTGTTCTGCACTTGTGTTCTTTTGGGAGGACGTTAGTGATATTCCTATGGGAAGGAATCAGAGTTTTCACCAGCCGCAGGAAGGGTCCGGGCTAGTGGCTTGAAGTCCCTTGGAGATGGGCAACGTATCACCCGTTAGTCTTCGGAAGATTCCAAGGCTCGCAGTTTTGTCTTCTTCTTTTTTTATTATTCTCCTTGTTTTCCTAACCGCCACTTCCCCATCTCTCTTTCTCCTATTGGACGAAAACTCCACCCAAACTCTAGACCAAAAGACACCCGACTGCCAGCCCAATCTCCTTCCCAAAGCCGCCGACCATCATCCATCCCTTGGCTCCAAGATTCAAAATCGAGCATTCAAATTCTTTCCTAAATTAGCTCCCTTTAATTTTGGAAACTATTTAAATTCATATTCAATTGAATTTGAATTTGAATTTTACTTCCTAAATGAGGAAAACTATTTTAGGGAAGTCTCTCAAATCATGCAATTTTAAATTTTAAATAGGAGTTGATCTAAATCCACTTTCCTATTTTAAGATTCTAAATATCTTTAACCCTCGTATCAATCACCCATAATCATGCTAGCCATCGGCCCTACCCACCTTCTTATTTCCTCTTTTCCTCCACTTTTCAAATTGATTATTGAAGGCATTCCTTATTCGATGCATCTTAAGTTTTAAAAATTTTTAAATTGAATTTTAAATTAATTTGAATTTGATATTCTTTTATTATATTAAGAGGTTTTCCTTAATTCTCCCAATTTTAATTTAATTAAAGATCTGTCATAATTTCTCTTTCCTTATCTTAATAATTCAAGTTTGAAAATTCCTTAAGTCCACATTCATCGTATGTGGACACATTCACCGTATGTGGACACATTCAACGTATGTGGACGCCTTCCCTTTTTCCCCTCTTTTGGCCAACCCCTCCATTTTACATCACCTTAAAGCTACTAGGTATGATACTCTACCCCCTTCATCATATAGCTTGTGGATTCTACTGCATCCAATCAAATGATTGATACCTCACACATTATTCACAATATATGTTCATATCATATGTCATCATCTATTCAGATTATTTAATACTATTCAATCACCTATTCAAGCTATTAGAGATATTAATTCTTTTGTGAAAATTATTCTCGTAACTTCTATGTTTTCTAGTAATCTTATCTCCGTAAGAAAACTGATTCATAATAATAGCGGTGTTAAATTTTCTCATAAAGATTGCATTATAAGAGATAAGGTGACTAGAATAATGCTCATGAAGAATCCTAAAGTTGGACAACTATTTCCTTTACATCCTTCCATTTCTAAGATCTAAAATATTAACTATCTTGACTTGATTTTATCATAATGTTACAAACAATTTTGACTTAATTCATAGCGATGTATAAGATATTACTCATGTTACATCGCATGCAAACTTTAATACTTTGTAACATTCATAGATGAATATAATAAGCATGCATTTAATTATTTTCTCAGTCAGAAATATAAAGCATTAACTTTCCTTGAGAAATTTCTTGCTTATATTGAAACTCATACTCTCATCTCACATCAAAGTAATAAGATAGGGCTTTTGGGTGAAGATAAGTCACTTGAATTTAACGACATGCATAAAAAAATTAGAATTGTTTCTCAGCAATCAGATCCCTATATGCATCAACAAAATGACTTTATTGAACATAAGAATCATTACATTTTAGATTTATTTAAACTTAGTTCCTAAAATCTTCAATTACACCTAAATTCTGGGTTGATGCATCAAGCACGGTAGTCTAGTTAATCAATAGATTACCTTCTCATGTTTTGGAGTTTAAATCTCCTTATTATCACCTCTTTCAAAAGCATCCCTACATCAGGTTGTATTTGTTTTGTTCATATACTAGCTCATAAACATCATATTGTGTCACTACTTGGACATTAGTTTTCCTATTTTTGATAATTAAATTATATTCTGACAATTCAAACCTGGATTTGTATGTGAAAGAAAACGTCCGAATTTACCACTTCCAAAGCTAAACCCACCACTGATCCTATTCGATCCTCCACTTGAACTTTCTAGCTCAAATTCAGTCATTGCTCCTAAACAATCTTGCAAAACATCTCGTCCACCAAATTGGTATAGCTTTCACACCACATTGGACTCAATTCTCATTCCTTCGTGTTAGCTTTTCCTAATTTCTATAAATTAAATTATATTCTAAAACAATTTAAACATGGATTTGTATGTGAACGAAAAGGTCCCAATTTACCACTTCCAAAGCTAAACCCACCACTGATCCTATCCAAATTTATCCTCCACTTGAACTTGCTAGCTCAAATTCAGTCATTGCTCCTAAACAATCTTGCAAAATATCTTGTCCTCCAAATTGGTATAGCTTGCTGATGTGATACATAAATGGAGTTACAAGAGAATTTATTAAAAGTTAACCATCATAAAGTTATGCATCAAATCAAAGTAAGTTGTTAAAATTTGTAGTCTTCCACTTGCTTAGGCAAAGAAATACATGAAGATTGACCAAGACACTCTCAATCAAATACAAAGGCGAACGTAATGTAATAGCTTATAACACAAATCCAGAATTTAATATAGAGATGTTCACCTTGAGGATTTACTCTCTCTCTACGGTTCTAGGCTTAGCGGTGGAAGATCTTCCACACTAGAAGTGAGATAACCACTAGGAAGGATGAGCCGAGGAGCTTGGTTGTTGGGAAGGTAGCCGGAGTTGGAGAAGGCAAGGAGTGTCCGATGAGGTAACACGGGGTTCTTGGTCGTTGAAGCTCGATGGTCTCGGCAAGACAATACACGATGCGGTTGACGTAGCGTTCTACTGTGCCGTCGTACTCCCAATCCAATTCGTAGAAGGGCGAGAGTAGAATGTTGATCTCACCATGGGCGTTGTAAGCAAAGCCGTGATCAACTTCTAGATCCGCCATGCATTCTTGTCGGGAGATGAAGGAGCACCAATGGAGAAAAGAGGGAGAGGAGAGGTGGAAGTGGCGGTTTGGGAGGGGGATGGGCTTGGCCGTGAGCTAGAGGGAGAGGCAGGAGGTGGGCCGTGAGGGTGGAGGGGTTGGGGCTCGGGTGAGGGAGACTAGTAGCGGGGGGGCTAGATGGAGGGAATAAACCTGAATTTAATTTCATATTTCCAATAAAAGAAGGGATTAATTTCAAATTCAGAATTTTAAATTTTAAATTAGGCTAGGAGGGAAGGGGGATTAATGGTTTATTAATGGGAGAGAGAGAGTGTGTGAGGGTGGGGTGGCCGGCCATATAGGGAGGAGAGAGGGGCTTGGGAATTAAGTAAGTGGGGCCCAAAAGATATTAATTAAATTCTAATCAAATCTGATTTTAATTTCAGATTTGATTAAATTTAAAATAACTTCCTAATTTGGTTTATAATGAGAGGGAAGAGGTTTGAATTTCAAAATAGATTTAAATTCCCTTAAATGACTTTTCTAAATAGAGAAAAACTAATTAGGAAAGTAATTTAATATAGGGGAATTTGAAATTCAAAGGGGTTGGGTCAAGGAAGAGCCGGCGGCAAGGTGGGAGGCCAAGGGGGGGCGAGTTGGAACCGGTGGGCTGGCAGCCGGCCGTGGGAGCTGGGAGGGCCGCCGGTGGCTGGGCCGGCCAAGGGAGGCCGGCGATGGAGCTATTGTGGCTGTGGTGAGGCTTCGGTTAGGTAGGGGAAGAAGAAGATGGGTGTAGGGGAAAGGGAAAATTTAGAGAGCTACAAACCTCAAGTACCACCTCCTCAAGAACTCACAAAGAGATCTTGGGAATTTCACGAACTCACAAAGAGATCAACAATAAGAAAATTTCATTCATCAACATTATCAAATACAATAGAGGCAGCCATAATATATAGGCCTAAGGAAACAAAAAAGTAAAATGACGCAAATGCCCCTGAGGCTACAACTCAAGACAACTAAAAGAAAGGGTACAATCGGAAATATCAATTAATACATAGCATCAAAATAAAGGTTATAGATCGTGGACATCGATCTACGCCTCTTGCGCTGATATACTCATCGAAAACGTTTGTCGATGTCCTCATCACTTTCACACCACATTGGACTCGATTCTCATTCATTAGCATTATTTAGATGCTAGCAAACATGATTGTTAGGAGGATATGGATGAAAATTTTCAGGCTCTTGAGTTTAGTAATTATTGTCCTCTAAATTTTAAAGTCATTGACTGCAAATGGGCTCACTCAATCAAGCGTCACTTGAATTGTACTTAGGATTGCTATAAGGCATATTATTTCTCATTGGAAACAAAATAAGAATATGGGACGTAAAGAAAATTTTACTAGAGTCACAAGAAATTACTACATCACAAGTAATTATCTTAATTGTTGCATTACAAGGACGGCCATTCCACCAAATGGATGTTAAAAATGGCCACTTTTCATGGTGATCAAAAGAATGAGATTTACATGGTCTTAATACAGTTTGAAAGGCCCCTTATGCATAATTCAATAAATTTTGATCTCTTACTTCATTTCTCCATCGAACGGAGCAAATATGACTCATCATTATCACCATTTCTTTACAAGACATCTAATGGCATTGCTCTCTCCTAGTTTATGTTGATGACAGAGTTATTATTACTAGTTTATGTTGATGACAGAATTATTATTAAGACAGATTCAGATCTAACTAGCCATTTGTAAAAGCAACTTCAAACCACATTTCATACAAAGAAAGTCGATGCTCTCGCTTATTAGTTTTCAAAGATCATGCTTATCCCTCCTGTATTTTCCTAAACCAACTAGGTACACACATATTTCTATTACTTTGGTTGTTCTCCAAAATGTTCCCTCTGCAGATACTCTATTAGAAGTAAACCCAAAGTATCATAGTAAGGAAGGTGATTTCCCTTTATTTCAAGAATTATTAGGCAACTAGAATAATTTAACAATTACTCGATCGTGCCATCTTTTTTGCATTTCTAAAGATTATTTGGCTTCACAAACTTCTACCTTAACTTGGTTTTTCTTAAAATAAGCTCACTCCTCTATATGCAGGCAATACTAGTGTCATTCAAATTGTTGCCAACCATGTTTATCATGAGCACACAAAATATTTAAAATTGATTATCATTTAATTCGAGAAGCCTTCAACAATTGTACAATTTCTCTTCATCCCATTTATACAGATGTTCATATTATAAACATGGTTATGAATGTCATGACACAATAACGACATCAGTGACTTGCAAGCAAACTGAACTTCTTAAAAAACAAACATCAATTTGAGAGGAAATATCAGCTAGATACTCATTAATATTATACCATAGATATTCATATGTTAATAATGGCTGCAAATCTATTAGTATAGCTATAAATATTTGTTCTTTTGGAATATAATTATAGCCTCCGTGTTTGGCTAGATCTAAATGAAAAATGACCCAAATATTACCTTATAATGCCTATTCTTTTCTATATAATTAGTAGAACCATCTAGGTGAGGGCAAGCAAATTGTGCGATCAATTTTGTCTAATAGTGAGGGTAAAGATCAGGCGTAACACCTATCCCTTCTTAAATTATTCTCCGCCTAAAACTTCCAAAATCAACATTCTTCCCCATTAACATCTATTATATATCTGCACTCACTCTCTGCATTGATGCATATCCACAAACACTGAAAAAATCATACTTGAGAAATAACTTATTAATATGAGCTCCAACGCCACTCTTCTTCCTGGGAGATGCAAAAACCCATATAACCATAAATATCTCTTCTGATATTTGTTTCACTAATCGTCTAATCCTCAAATGTACATATTTTACAAGGTCTATTTATATCTCATATAATTCTTGAAGCAAGGATAACAATGCTTATGATTACAATCTTTGTAATTAAAAACAGTTAATATTAAGCAGCTGACATATCTCTCAGAGAAAGAAGATTGAAGAGACTAAAGTGTACTTTCCCTATAGCACAGAGAATTTTATGTAATCAAAACTTTTATGTGGCCACTACAGATCATTCAAGAATGAATGAAGATAAACTATTGAACAAGCATGGAGGCCAATCCTATACATTGTTATTTCCATGTCTTTAGATTGTTTAAGCTAATTTGCATTCAATCAAATAAAACAGTTGAAAGGGAACCTTCACAAAATGCTTTGTTTAAAGATGCATATCAACCAGATGAGGTAGCGAAGTAGTAATAACAAGATGACAATGTATATAAAAATACAACAAAGACATGTTTTATTCTTATTGGAAAGGCAACTTACACATAGCAAATCATTTCCAGGAAGAATAAAAGGGAGATTGGAATCATTATAACTCAAAATAAGGATACGAAGAAACTGTAGTGAATCATTGTCGTAGAATATCACACATCAATCTTTTAGTTGTTAGTCGAACTCAAGAAAACATTACCTCAACTTTCCCATACTTTCAGCAAGGCGAAAACCAATTGCTCTAGCCCTTCCACTTTTAAGAAAGAGTAGAGCATAGACACCCTAATAAAAGAGGACTAGACATTCAGCGTCAAATTGAAATCAAGAAAAGAAAGCTTCAGGTAATAGATTTACCATATATTGTTGACTACCAGCTAAAGTGACATCATGATAATTGTCGATTATGTCAAGAAAAATTTGGAACTCATTGACCAAAGACTGGTCCTCTAGAAGCAATGGATATGTCAAAACCTGCATCAGTTAAACCATCAAATTAATTCTAAAAGAATACAGTTGGTTGCTAAGTATTTTCAACAGGATTTTATGTCTTTCTACATGTAAAGTACAGCTTATTATCCTCCAAAGTAATCAAGTAATACTAGTAGAAAACAGAAGCAGAATTCAATATTTTAAGAAAACTTCTTATGGACGAAATATAAATGGAAAAGGCAGTCAGCTGGCTCATGAACTATATTTATTCTTATTTATAAAACTTCATCACTTATGATTTTGCAATAATATAAATGATAAATAATCTAAGCCTGATAACATACTTCAAACATTATGCTAATAACTTCAACGCTATAAGAGTCTGCATCATATTCCCCATGTTTAATCCTTGCATTTATCTTTTCTATATGCTCTGCAACCCTTTCTTCATCAAGGCTACGTAACACTTTCAGAAGAGGGCCAACAGCATCCGATTCATACTCCAGATTATAAGATTCTTGAGCCTGATGATGCTGGAATATACACTGCATGCACTGCCCCAACTCCATAGAAATCCTCTTCCATATATATTTCAAAGGTGAATCGCTGCTCTTGTCATTGAAGTAATAATGAAAAGTCTCAAGAAGAGGTCCCATTAAATCGGAATAGCCACACCATATATGACTTTCTTTTGGCAAATTGGCTAAAAATTTAAAACAATCAGAAAACCTGCAGGCAAAATAGGAAAAATGGCTTAAGAACAGTGCAGTAATTACAAAAGGTTAGATGATAGTAACACATGGTTGTTAAAAATATAAAGAAGTATGCATGCATGGATTGCAAGCCTGCAAAATTATCTTTCTGGACGGGAGAGGTACATTGAACTGTGATATGTTTCTAGATGTCTAAAATTGGAGAAATAAAAAATGCCAAATCTTCCAGAAAATCATGTTGCTTATCATGTTAGAATAAGAAGCTTATATTTAAATAAAATGCCTAAGCTTAGGTCAAGAATATAAATTCCTCCGGTATTATCAGAATTAAGTAAAAAAATATAGTATTAAATTTCCTGAGGCTTTAGATTTCACTTTAAAGATCTTTAAAATCAAAACCAAAATAAAAATAATGCCCTAGTACAACAAATAATGAATGTAAGGGAGAAATTAAATAATTAAACAAGAATCAATGGAACTAAAAAAAAAACAGTACCCACTATGATTCTTTTTTTTTTTTTTAAGAAAAAAATATGCTATAAAACATGATATCAATTTTTGACCTGTTTTATTGATGAGAAAGAAGAATAATCACAAAACAAAGAAGGGAATTATGCCTAAAACTCAAACAATAATCTCCCGAATTTTAATCAAATCAAATTTAATTGCTTGACTCAAGGATGGCTAATTGAAAAAAAAGTTTGATTCAACACAAATTTGACTTGATAATTATATACCCATATTACTACTAAAAAAGTGACTTGTAATTCCACTCATATTGAATCATAGCCCTTCATATTCCTTCATTATTCTCACATTCAAATTTATTCCTACAGTATTCTCAGCTTTTTTTAGAAAATTAACAGTGAACATTCAAATTCTGAAGCATCCAAATGAATCAAATCCGTCTGCTTGCCTGTTACAAATCAAACTTACGAAAAATCCTCACCGTTTGTTGGTATATTGACTGATTGTTATGGTTGAGGCCATCATAAGCTTACATGCGCCTAGTTTTCTTCACCTATCTTATGAAAGGCTGGTACTTCCTAGCAGAACATTCCTTGCTTGAACTGGGTATTTAGATGATTTACCGCTTCTGGGCTCACCATATGTTATTTCATGTTGCGTCTCTACTAGGTGAGACAAGCTGTCTTGATTTTCCTTTTTTCAAAGCTGAAGATGATTCTCTCCCTCTTTCTCTCAAACCTCAGAAAATATTAAAAACCTACTTCCAGCATTGGTTGTTGGTATAAACTGCTGCAGAGTTATAGTTTACTATAAATGTCGACTCTATATTGCTACAGAAATGGGCGCTGCCAATGAAGGCCCAAACAGCTACTAAAATTAGTGAATTTTTTAGTAAGAAACTTATGATGCTAACTTCTGTAGAACTGCAAGCAAAATGATAAAAAGAGCAATCAATTAATTTGACATATTAGACACCATAATCTTCTCTCGAACAAAAAAAAGACGTATGAGTGCCATTTCATTGTGCAAAATAGTTTTGTCGTTTAGCTTGCATTCATATAAATTTGTATCAAGAGCTTCCACCGCAATTTTCTCCCCTAGAATCAGAATATAGTGAAATAAAACCGCAAAGAAACGAAGCCAAAACCCAGAATGTATAAATTGTATGAACAAATCCAAAGCTATTAAGAAATGAGAAGGTGAAGGAATCCAACCAACTCTCCTTGGCTCGACGAATTTGCTCCTGCTTCGCAGGGGACGGATCATCGTCCTCCTCCTCTTCTTGAATACCCATCCATCGATCGAGTAGTTCTCTTCTGCTACACGACCTCTTCGCCATAGTAGCTCGTTCGAGGCGCGACCTGGATATAGCCCTATTGATTGGGGGTCGCCCTTTCCTTATGATTTTATCCTTCCCCTAATCCAAAATTTTTGTCTCTGTTCTTCGATCTGCAGAGGTTTTTGGAAAAGGGCAACACGGATGGGAGAGATTTCGGAGGGATCGAACCTTCGGTGATAGGGCAAAATTCGTTAATAATACTTAAAATTTAATTATCCGTAAAATTAATACCTTCTTACATTTATTTTAAGTTTTTGAGTTTTTATTTTCATCTAATTATCTAAATATTAAAATTTAGTTTGGGGCATATTTTTTACTAGAAAATTATTTTAAGAAGTAAGCCTGCATTTTACAAAAAAATTTAAAATCTTAATTTTATTTTATTAAATTTCAAATATTTAATTATGTCAAGCACTATTTTATTAATTCTATAATTGAAAACATAATAATGATACATCACAAAAATTATCTTGATCTAGCATAAATCTGGGGATACATTTGAATTAGAAACTTTTAAGAACTTCAATTTGAACGAATTTATAGTTATTGATAAAACAAACTTAACGCAAAAAAAAAAAAATCAGATCAATATATGCCCAATGGGCCCAAACCAATGATCTAAAGTATATTTAGAAGTTTCAAGGCTTTAATTGGATGACCAAATGATCTTTAAATGTGACATGCTTGTAGTTGAATCAAGCGGCTCAACGAGACGAATCCAACAAGCCTAAAAACGCTTAATTTTTACATCATTCAGACTGTTAAATGTTGAATGAACGTTACTCCGTCGTTTGTCGCCTACAGTCCCTCCTACTTCCCTGGCCCGACTATGATTCTTCCTACCACTGTCACACAACAACGGTCTCTCTGACTATCTTGCCCCAACATCTAATTTGGAAGAATTATTTTTTTATCTTTTATATAATAATCAGGACTATCTAATATCTTTTACTAATAAAATATCAACAAAAGTAAAATTTATTGATTAAAATATTAATATACATTTGTAATCACTATACAAAAATTATGTATAATACTTACGAGTTGATAAGTGTAAATTATGTACTGTTTAATCTATTCTTTTTTCAGTGAAAATATATTATTTTAGTTGATTTTGAACAAAAAAAACTCAAAATTTACAGAAGATACTAAGGGGCCCACAGCACTAGGACTAGGAAAAAACACCTCCTAAGTTAAAGAATAATTAAAGGACAAAAGAAACAAAATAACAAGAAACCTAAGAAATCCGGTAATTGGTCAGTCTCGCACTCTAGTTTATCTTCTATGACTTGAAATTATTTTAACCATATATAATAAGCTAAAAAGCTAAGTGGTCAATGACATCCTCTAACCAAACTCAAAGCATAGTAAAAAAAATAGTGTAAGTAATCATTCAGTTTATAACATTAACAATTACTATGATCATGAATTTGTACAGTGGCGGAGTGAGGGGGGCCCACGGGGGCACGTGCCCCCCCTCGGTAAATTGAAATTCCTATCATTCGCTTGCTTTAACAAACAAAAAAAGAAACTAATTCCTATGCCCTAACCCGATTGCGGACTGCTCGTGCTCGGTGCTCCAGAGGAATCGCCTCCCAGGCTCCCAACGACGATGCGTTTGGGCGGTTTGGCCCTGTGTTCGCTCCTCCCAACTCTAACGGACAAAGCTTGAAGAGGAGACAAGACCACCGAGGGCCCGAGGCACTGACCTGTTCTAAGTTTTCTCCTCCCGCCGAAGCTTGAATTGACGCCGTTCATTGTTTGATGGACGAAGGCCAAAGATACGATCAGATTTAGATAAACTGAAATTTTTCCTACATACCCTCTCATTTCATTTGGCGCCGACCTGTTCTCATATCCATATTCTTTCATTTCGTTTGGCCTCCACTACAAGATTTAGGTCAACTGAAATTTTTCCTACAAGTTTATGTTTTCTTCTACTGCATTATTGATTGATTTTATGAGTTATTCTTTCAATAATCTTTGTATTATTTCTTCCATTGCATTCTTGTTGGATGTCAATATTATGAGTTTTCCTATGGATCTTATGTGTTAATTAACATAGGTCTTATAATTTGTAAAGTTCTTAACCGATTGTCGATTGATCTTGCAAAATAATAACTAGGTTTTTGTCATGGAGAAATATTTTAAAAAGATTTCACATAGTTCAAATGAAACAAACAAAAAAGATGAGGAGCAAAGTCAAAAAAGAATTTGCATGGAAATTGAATCATCAAGAAATCAAGATGTAGATTTAGAGAACCTTCCATCTGATCCTGGTTTGCGAATTCCTATCTATGACTTTTCTCTTAATATTCAAGATCAAGTTTGTCGATCTTACTTGCAAAGAGGACCATTCCAACCTCGCATTCATGAATTTCCCTGAAACCAAATTTGGGGCAAATGATAGACGATTCAATGCTGCGTGGTTTGATAAATATTCTAATTGGTTAGAATACAGCATATGCAAAGATAAGGCTTAATGTTTATATTGTTATCTATTTAAAGCAACAGGTAGAGGAAATGAGGATGCTGATGCATTCAATAAGAAAGGATTTTCAAATTGAAAAAAAAAATCAAATAGATTTGAACTTCATGTTGTGAGTCATAATAGTGCGCACAATATTGCACGACGAAACTGTGAAGACTTGATGAATCAAAGTCAACATATTGGTTTTATGTTTAAAAAGCAAACATATTATTCCACAACTGCAAATCAAACTCATCTAAAAGCATCACTTGATTGTGTCCGTTTTCTTTTAAGGCAAGGGCTAGCTTTTAGAGCCCATGACGAGTCTGACACATCCAGAAATCAAGGAAATTTCCTTCGGCTGTTGCACTCTTTAGCTGAACATAACAATGAGATAAATAATGTGGTGCTAAAAAATGCTCCAGAAAATTTAAATTTAACTGCACCAGAAATTCAAAAGGACATCACCAGAGCTATTTCGATTGCAATCACAGACTTCATAAAGAAAGAAATTGGAGAAAATTACTTCCCTCTTTTGATTGATGAAGCACGCGATATTTCCTCAAAAAGAGCAAATGGCTATTGTGGTTCAATTCGTTAACGAAAAGGGTCAGGTGGTTGAACGTTTTCTAGGCATTATTCATGTTCCTGATACAACGGCTAGAAGTCTAAAAAAAACCATTGAAGAATTGCTTTCAACTTCTAGTTTAAGTATATCCAAATTGCATGATCAAGGATATGATGGAGCAAATAATATGAACGAGGAGTGATTTTACTCCTATTGAACTGGAAATTCTAGACAATCAGTTGGAAATGTATATCATGGATATGCAGTCAGATCTATATTTCTCATTGTTAAAAGATATTGGAGATCTTGCTGAGACAATGATACATAATAAGAAAGATATTTTATATCCTCTTATTTTCAGGCTATTAAAACTCACTTTAGTTTTGTCGGTTGCAACAACTAGCAGGAGTAGAAAGAGTATTTTCTGCAATGGCTATCATTAAAACTCGATTGCGAAATAGGATTGGAGATCAGTGGATGAATGATACTTTACTCGCATGTATTGAGAAAGAAATATTGTATTGTATTGAAAATGTTGTAATTGATAATCTTTTTCAAAATATGAATAGCAGACGCTATAAATTGTAAGTATTTTCTATCATATATTTAATATTCAATCTTTAAAAAAAAATTAAACTGCCTATGCCGGTCCCAAGCCCGAATGCAAAAAAGTTGAGAGAATTTTTTAAAAGAATTTGTTCCCCCTCTAAAAAATGATTCTGGCTCCGCCACTGAATTTGTATAGAAATAATAAAACGCATGTTATAGCAGTAATATTTTCAAAACAGTAAATAAGTATGATATAGAGACCTATAAAATAGTGTAGTAAAAAAACAATAAAATCTACAAACTAGTAAATGAGTATGAATGTCAATATATAAAGTAGCAAACAATCATTATTATAAGTTATACGTTATGGCAGTACTATCAGATCAATGAACAAATCATATAAATCTCAAATTAATACTATCAAATTAGTATACACATGATGTTTAATCATTTTATATCAATATCAAATTGGGATTTTATATCACATGCTCAATAAACAAATTGTAATTAATATCATAGAGCAATTTATATCACATTTTCTTAACTTAAAACAGAATCTCAAAGTATTTTGACCTCATATGACTCACTTTTTTTTTATAGGCTATAGCACCATAACATGCTTGTAGGCACTAGAATATTACTTATAGCCACCAGAATGTGCCTTATAGGCGCCATAATATTCATTGACACAAATAGAATCTAAAAGGATTATGGCACCTTATGGCTTCCAACAGATATAATTTAATATCATATGCACATATATCATCACATTATAGTCGCTAAAAAGTAATTGAGCATGTGTCAAAATTGCAAAATTTTCTATAACGATAGGCAGCATAAAATCCCACTAGACAAAAAATCACATTTTCATAAAACAACTAAATTATCATGGATTATAGAAAATAATGTTTTAAGACTTTTATCATACTACACCACTATTTTCATAGTCAAAATATTTTTTTTTTATATTAAAATCTCACAAATTTCAAAACTCCCGTTGTAAAATTTTTCAAAATTTTTCAAAATGTATATAATCATAATATCTATAACATATAAAAAGTTACGGGATGAAAGTTTTACTGGTGCAAAGTTATCTGCATTTTTTTGCTAACATAAATAAATATTTGATAAAAAAAAGATAAAAAATTTTTATTCTTGAAAATTGAGATAGCATAATATGACCAACCTCGATCCGGATAATATTCTGAATTGGGCCGACAGCATAAAACGACAAAAAATGACTAAAACTTCCTTGACAGTAGAATCGATCTTCAACCAAGTATTTTCAAAGGCTTCTAGGCGAAGCTGCTCATAGATAGCATCATTCTCTTCATGCGCGACTTTCACTGGGGAAGAAAGCAACATATCAATCTTTCTTTTCATTCTCCCGTATGTTGAGAAGGTTTTTCTTTCGCATTTCCGAGCTGGAGCCTTGTGGAGAACAAAGAAATGCTGGAGATTCTTATCGAAGACATCAGATGCATTGGCTGCAGAGATGGGAGAAGAATGAAAATCACAAGTAGTGGAAGGAAAATGCCCCATTGTTGGAGGAGGACATACAATGTTAGGGCTTGGGCCTCAGTTCCCTCCAGTCCCAATC